AGCTCAGTGTGAAGACCCTGGTTCAGACCCCAGTACCATAAGTGGCTAAATAAAATGGGTTAGGTGTGTAACTCAGTGCTAAGCCTTAGATTCAGTCCTGAATACTGCAAGTCAAGCTGGGCGTGGTGGCGCATGCTTATAATCTCAACACTTGAGAGGAGGGCAGGAGGATCATTCCAAGTTCGAGACAAGCCTGGGCTACAGAGTGAGCTCAAGGCCAGCCTGAACTGCATAGCGAGACTCTGTCTCAAAAAAGAAAAAAAAGATCCCTCCCCTCCAAAAAAAAAAAAATACTACAAATGGCTGGGGATGTAGCTCAGTGGTAGAGTTTGCCCAGCATACATACGTAAAGCCCTAAATTGTCTCACCATTAGCAGAAAAGGACAGGCAGAGATAGATGGGGTACAAAACAAGACTCAACTTTATACTGTGTAGAAATAATATACTTGAGATTCAAAGGCACAAATAGGTTAAAAATAAAAGGATGGGAAGATGATATACCATGTATGCTAGAGTTGAACAATTCAAGAATGAAATTAAGAAAACAGTTGCACTCACAACAGCATCAGAATAAAAAGGTGCTTAGGAATAAACATGACAACCTGTGTGCTGAATTTTAAAAACATTGCTGAGAGAAATTGAGGAAAATCTAAATGGGGAGATATTCTTTATTAATAGTTTGATGATATTAATAGTTTGAAAGACTCAATTTTAAGGTGACAGATTCTTCCAAATTAGTGTCAGTACAATCTCTGACAAAAATTCATGCAAGCTCTTTTTGCTGATACTGATAAGCTGGTCTCAATTTATATGGTGCTGCAAGGTCCAAGCATAACCCAAATGATTTTTTTTTAAACTATAACTATACATAACTATAAAGCTACAATAATCAAAACATTAATTTATTGGCATATAGAGTGATGAAACAAATGAAATTCCAGAAATAATGCTTACTTTGTTTTTGTTTTTGCACTGGGAATTAAACCCAGGGCCTTCACACTGAGTTATAGCCCCACCTTTTTTTGTTTTGAGAGGCTCTTGCTAAGTCACTTGAGTTGCCTGGGCTGGACTTGAACTTCTGATTCCCCTGCCTCAGCTTCCCAGAGTGCTGGGAATATAGGTGTGCACCAAGGCACCCAGCTTAAATATATTTAATATGACTAACATCCCTTGAAATAAATGGGTCATAAAGCCAGTCTCCAAATTTCGCCAAATGATACTATATTCATTTTTGTTTGTTTTTTCAAGTATTTTAATTATTGTAATGATACTGAGTTCTTTGTTGCTTTGCTGATGTCATTCAGATCTTATTTGCCAAATGGGGAACAGTCAATTCATTAAATGTTTTAGTGCTTTTTTTCTCTGCAAGGCATTCTACTATATAGATAGGAAATGAAAAGACTGTTGAAGCCTGCTGGGAATTTACAGTAAAAAAGAGGGATTAAAGTACTTCCAGATCCCTATAGTATAAATAACATTTATTGATTCAGCAATCTGTAGGCCTGTTAGTTGCTGACTAAATTGTGGTGCACCAACTAGACAAGGCCCATTTCCTGTCTGATGTGAAGCACACCAGTCAGTTCACTATCCTCAGGGTTTCATAGGAGAAGGAACAGTTGCGTCCCGTTAAGGAGCCCAAGAAAAGCTTCATGGAGTATTTTTCTCCCATAGGTTACACTTTACTATTATATATATGTGTGTGTATATGTACATATACACACACACACATATTTGTGGGTTTTTTTGTCTTTTTGAGACAGGGTTTCAATACGCAGTTCAGGCTGCGCTTGAGCTCACTGTGTAGCCCAGGCTGGCTGGAACTCAAAATGATCCTCCTGCCTCAGCCTCCTGAGTGCTGGGATTACAGGCATGCGCCACCATGCCCAGCTACTATTATATAATTAAATCAGAGATACCACAGGTTATAAAATGCACCATTATTTTGTACAACACAGGAATAATTTTGACTTTAATTATAAGACATGTCTTCATTTCAAAGATGTTAAAATACAGGGAGGAAACCCTGAGATTATTGTAAAATACTTGTAACAAAATTTGCCCTCTTTTATAGGGAGGTGTTTACTTTTTCTATCCTAACCCTGTAAGTGTGCACCTTAGTGGGGTTAAATGTAAGTACCCACCTCCCCTGTGCTGGGTATTAGGCCCAAGGCTTTTGCAAAGCTATAGCCCCAGCCTTTTTCAAAAATTTTTTTTAATTTTTTTTTTTTAGTTTTGAGAGAGAGTCTCTCTAATATGCTAAGTTGCCCAGTCTAGGCTTGAACTTGCCAACCTCCTGCCCCTGCCTCCTAGAGTGCTTTGATTACATGCATGACGTACCATGCCTGGTTAAATATATCCTTAATGTACAACTTTTCATCTTGCAAAACAAAAGATAATCTCTTAAAGTCAAAATAAAGTGTATTAGTAAATGTAGCTGCATTTCTCAGAGGCTGAAATTAAAAGTGGCTTTAAAATAGAATTTTATTTTCTCCCATATAAAAGTCCAGATATAGATGCTGTTTTTTCTGGCAATGTAGTCCTACAGTCATTTGCAGGCTCCTCCTGGTTTTCTGCTTGTTTTTAAAGCTGTGGCCTTCAGCTTCATGAAATAAGATGAGTTCCATTCATCCTTCCTGCATTCTGAACAGCAGAAATAAGGAGGCTGAGGCAGGAGGATGGCTGTGAGTTCTAGGCAAGGCTGGGCTCTGTAGTGAGTTCAAGGCCAGCCTGAACGATATAGCAAGAGCCTGTCTCAAAAAAAAAATTGAGAAAGGAGAAAAGCAGTGCAGCACACCCTCTCTCCTTTCAAGACACTCCTGAAATTGCACACATCACTTTTTTATGTATTATTTGTCCAGGATATTTACTGGGACATTGCTAGCTGCAGAGAAAATATAGCTCTCTTTCCACACAGCCATGTGGTAACTAAAAATTGTGTATAACTTATGAATAATATAGGTCAGACCTTTGAATACCCTGTTTTGAACTTAGTAATTCTGAGCAGTAGGGGTCACTGTTGAGCAAGTGTTTCTTTCCTATTTTTTATGATCTACCTTGTCTTTTCTACCCATATTCTAAAGTCTTGCAGTAATTTTTTTTTTTTTTTTTTTTCTGGTCTTTTTGAGACAGGGTCTCACTATCCAGTTTAGGCTGGCCTTGAGCTCACTTCGTAGCCCAGGCTGGTCTCCAACTTGCAACAATCCCCCTGCCTCAGCCTCCTGAGTGCTGGGATTACGGCATACTGCACCATGCCCAGTACTGGAAAATTAATCCAGCTCTTGCAGTAATTTCTTGTATATTTGTGTGTGAAGCACTTAAATTTATTATGTTATTAAACTAATCCCCAAAACATGGCAATGGGGTTTTGAAAGCTGATTGAAAAGTCTTCAGACTTGAGATCCTTCTGCTTTAGCCTTTATGTGCTGGGATTACAGACACACACCACCACACCTGCCCAGGGTTTAGTTTCTTTGGGCTCTTCCTCCCTACTTTGTTGTTCTGGGGTTTTTTTGTTTTGTTTTGTTTTGATTTTGTACGGGGAATCGAACTCACAACCTCGCACTTGCCAGGCAGGTGCTTGGGCGACTGAGCTATATCCCCAGCCCTATGTTGTTCTCAATTTTTAGCCTGTTATACAGATTTCTAGTGTCACCATCTACTTTTCCAGCTGGGCATGGTGGTGCACCCCGGTAGTAATCTTACTACTTTGGGAGACCGAGGCAGGAGAATGGCGATTACAAGCTAAACTTGGGCAGTTTATTAACTTAGAGACCCTGTCTTGAAATTTAAAAATGATTCATTAAGTTCCCACCATGTATCAGGCTCTGTCCTTAGCCCTGGAAATGCGGCAGAGTATGCTCCCTGCCCTTACATAGCTTCCCATTTACTTGGATGGGAAGCTTATTAAAATTACTATGTGGATTTTTGTTGTTGTTGCAGTACTGGAAAATGAATCCAGCACCTTTGCACTGAGCTATATCCCCCACATTTAAAAAAAGAAAAAAACGCAAATTACAGTCTTGTGCCACCCCACATCCCAGCATTCTGGAGGTTAAAATGGGGTGGTCACCAAATTTGAAGCCAACCTGGGCTATATAGCAAGACCTTGTCTCAGAACACACACACAGGAATACTGCGGTAGACTGGCATAGTGGTATACACTTGTAATCCCAGTACTTGGGAACCTGAGGCAGGAGAATCGAGTTCAAAGCCAGCCTGAACTACATATTGAGACCCTATCTGAAAAAAAAAAGGAAAGAATAGAGAACTGCCAAAATTTATGGTGGTGGTTATGTGAAGCTTTATGGCTTCTTAACACTTCCTGGAAAAGTACATGTCAAATTTGGTGAACCACTTTATCTTATTGGAATTTAGAAATGGTCACCATAATAACGAGACCTTGAGCAGTAAATGTTTTTAATTCAGTTCCTTATCTATAAAATATCATAATGGGCTGTCATAAACATGAAAAACAGTACATGAAACTGTCTGACACTTAAAAATTCTGGCATATATGCTAATTCTTCTGACTGCTATTAGTTTATCTCAAAAGATAAGGAATTAGTTGAATGCCTCAAAGACATTTTCAGCCAAACCATCTCTGAAAATACAGTATAACTTTTTTTTTTTTTTTTTTTTTTTTTTTTTGAGACAGGGTCTTACTATGCAGTTCAGGCTGGCCTTGAACTCACTTTGTAGCCCAGGCTGGTCTCAAACTCACAACAATCCTCCTGCCTCAGCCTCCTGAGTGCTGGGATTACAGGCGTGTGCCACCACGCCTAGCTAATACAGTATAACTTTCGTACTTCTTTCCTATGAGAATTACCTCGAACTATTTTTAGGTTTGGTTTTTTGTTTTTGGTTTTTTTTTTTTTTTTTTTTTTGGTATTGGGAATAGAAGTCAGGACCTAAGCTATATATCCCCAGCTCTACCTTGAACTTGTTGAGGTGATCTTAATAAAATGTTAAGTAACACTTGACATAATTATTTTGTTTTGCAGATGTTCTCAAATAGCGATGAAGCTGTAATCAATAAAAAACTTCCCAAAGAACTCCTGTTACGGTAAGTTTGCTGATTTTATTGAGGTTATGTTCTTGTTTTGGCTTTAGTATATGTCATATTTGTGTATTTAAAATGTTTAAGATTTGTTAATTTTTTTTGTTTATGTATGGCATCTGTATTATCTTCTTAGAGGGTTTTGACCAGTATTCAGCGTATTATTATTTAATTTTTATTAGGACATGTTTGCAGTACATAATAGTATCTATATTACTTGAAATTTCAACTTGTTTGTTAAACAATATCACTGTGTTTTCTGGATGTGAGTGAAGGTACTAGATAGCTTACCACTTAGTGTATCCCAAGCGTCACCCGGGCAGCACATTTGTTTACATACTGATTATACCACGCTTTATTTGGGAAGGTGTCATTTCAGCCATTTCTTGTTTGAATAAGATATGGTCATATGTGTTTTAAGCCAGGCATGGTGGCGCATGCTTGCAATCCCAGCACTCCGTAGGCTGAGACAGGAGGATCGTTGCAAGTTGAAGACCAGCCTGGGTTACAAAGTGAGCTCAAGGCCAGCCTGAACTGCAAAGCGAGACCCTGTCTGGAAAAGACAAAAAAAAAAAAAGATACACTCATGTGTTTGTTTTATATGACTTTTTGCATACTTTTTCATTTAGAATGTATTTG